ACTGTCAGAGACTCCTCACAAGTAAGAAAAAACTGTCAGAGACTCCTCACAAGTAAGAAAAACCTGTCAGAGACTCCTCACAAGTAAGAAAAAACTGTCAGAGACTCCTCACAAGTAACTGTCAGAGACTCCTCACAAGTAAGAAAAAACTGTCAGAGACTCCTCACAAGTAAGAAAAAACTGTCAGAGACTCCTCACAAGTAACTGTCAGAGACTCCTCACAAGTAAGAAAAAACTGTCAGAGACTCCTCACAAGTAAGAAAAAACTGTCAGAGACTCCTCACAAGTAAGAAAAAGCTGGCAGAGACTCCTCGCAAGTAAGAAAAAGCTGGCAGAGACTCCTCGCAAGTAAGAAAAAGCTGGCAGAGACTCCTCGCAAGTAAGAAAAAGCTGGCAGAGACTCCTCGCAAGTAAGAAAAAGCTGGCAGAGACTCCTCGCAAGTAAGAAAAAGCTGGCAGAGACTCCTCGCAAGTAAGAAAAAGCTGGCAGAGACTCCTCGCAAGTAAGAAAAAGCTGGCAGAGACTCCTCGCAAGTAAGAAAAAGCTGTCAGAGACTCCTCGCAAGTAACAAAAGTCTGTCAGAGACTCCTCACTAGTAAGAAAAACCTGTCAGAAACTCCTCGCAAGTAACAAAAGACTGTCAGAGACTCCTCACAAGTAAGAAAAACCTGTCAGAGACTCCTTGCAAGTACCAAAAGTCTGGCAGAGACTCTTTGCAAGTAACAAAAGACTGTCAGAGGCTCCTTACAAGTAAGAATAAATTGTCAGAGACTGCTCACAAGTAACAAAAGTTTGTCAGAGACTCCTTGCAAGTAACAAAAGATTGTCAGAGACTCCTCACAAGAAAAAAACTGGCAGAATTTCAATCCACGTGTAGCCATTCCTATCCAACAGAAGTAGATTGTTAGATCAAATTCTGTTGAACGAGAATGTTGGAAAATTTGTGTCGATCAGCAGCTGCAGTCAGAATACTCTGTGGTTGATTTACTAAAGGTAAATAGACTGTAGAGTGCAAGTGCAGCACAAGTGCACTGTAAATGTAGTTGCTTTATATCCAAGGGGAAACCCTGAAATGAGGTAAAGCTCTACTGATTTCTTTAATCCAATCATGTGCAAGCAAAAATGCAGTTTTTTTTTATTTCCTTGCATGTTCCCCTCAGATCTAGAGCAACTCCACTTTCAGAGCACTTGCAGTGCACAGCCTATTTGCCTTTAGTAAATCAACCCCAATGTCCCAGTGGAGAGGAGGATCCTCCATGCACCTCACTTGTGTTGATGGAGGAATCTGTTTGATGTCGTTGGGTATCCATCCTGCAGGTGTATAGTAGCTCTCACATTATTTATTTAAAGGAACAGGAGGGGCTTTAGAAAGGAGTTCTGAAGATAAAGCATTCTGGTGATATGTAGTTGGGGATGGAAGTCGGGTGTAAACAGACAGGCGGTCCGCCCATAGAGGAGAGTGGGCTATGTCTGTGTCTGCTCTTCATAAGCGGAGCAAGCAAGCCTTTCATCCGCTTGCTTAGCGGGGATCAGCAGACAGATTCCCTGCTTAGCAAGCGGATCGCAGCTGGAGTCCACCCCGTGTGAAAGGGGCCGTAAACTGAAACAAATCCCTGTGACGGTGAACCCTTTATGTTTTCTTCTTCACTAATGAACAAACATGAGCAGGAAGACCAACCATGGAACTTGCTTAATAGATTTACGGTAATAATTGCAAGATAATCTGTACAGAGGACAGGAAGTGCCATTGAATTAGTCATAAAATATGGTATTATACAGAATATATATATATATATATATAATAGAGGGATACAGGATATGTAATGTCACCACACCACAAACTATTTTCTACAACATCTGTCCTAGATTTGCATCTATATTCCTTGTTATCATTCTGAATGATTTGTCTGTCACTGATCTGCTCTAACTGGTAAGAACCAGGAAACAACATGTATTATGTCACTTCTTGGTTCAGCTGTCACTTTCCCCGGCTGCAGAAGAAGCTAATGGAACACAATCTGTACTACATTAGCTTCAGTGGCATGCAGGGTATCATCAAGGGGTCTAATAGACCCCTAATGTCTCATTAAAGAGAGACTGTCACTATACATATGCTATCACCTAGGGTGCTATTGGTTCCCTATATAATAGCAATAAAGTTAAGTGAAAAAAAGAGTAAAAAAAATAATAAGATACCCCCAAGCACTTCCCTGAACGTCCAGTGCTGCATGACTGAAAACAAGCTTTAACCCTGATCTGAAAAGCGACCTACCATGGATGGAAAAATATAAAGATGAGAAATGTGAAGTAAAGAAACAAACAAATAATTCTATGACTGCGTGTATTAGAGCATACAGTTATCAGACTACTATATTTTTTATGATATTGTTCCTTTAAGGGCCTGGTATGCAATCTGCAGCCTGGGACTGCAATTGGCTCTTGCTCACTTATTGTGCGGCCCATGGGGCCAGTGAAAACATCTCCTAGGAGTTTGCTCAGGCCAAGAAAAATAATCTTTACACTGGGGGTTTGTTCTATTTCTGTTCCACGATCTTTCTTTTTTCTTAAAGTGGTTGTAAACCTCAGTCATGAAATATGAACAAAGCATATCCCTCTATAGTGTGTTCTTGTCTCAATTAGGGGCTTTAATTGTCATTTCTGTCTGCTTCTTCTTTCCTCTGCTATCAGCTATGAGTCACTTCTAACAAATTTTCCTGACACCATGTTTAATAGGTGACAGGGGAGGGAGCTCCAGCAGATTTACAGCCTCTGTTCCTGTGAGCTGTGTGAAGGAGGTGTGTCCCTTCCCTCCAATCAACTCTGAAATCAATGCTGGCACCATCGGATTACAAAACACATGAAATATCTGATTTTCCAAAGAACATTTGTTCGGAATTTGACCCATGTATGGCCTGCATTACACTTTGCAGAGCTCCATGAGAAGAGCTCTGCAAAGTGTAATGCAGGCCATACGTGGGTCGAATTCCGAACAAATTTTCTTTGAGAAAATCGGATATTTCATGTGTTTTGTAATCCGATGGTGCCAGCATTGATTTCGAAATTCGATCAACCAAGCCTTTAATGTCACCTCATGTTGCTACAGAAAAATAATTTTTATGGCCAAGAATTTTCTTTTCTTTACAGGTCACAGCTCATGCTCTTTTTTTTTTTCAATTACATTTCTCACTTGATTCTACCATCATTGATTGGAAATTTGTTCATTTTTTAAAAAAAATCCAACATGCCAATCACTCAAATTCGATGGTCGCTCGAAAATCGGCCATTGCTGTGGCCCACTTATGGTGCAAAATTGAAACGAAAATTCCTAGAAAAGATTTTTGAAAGAAAATTCTTTTGGAATACGACCCGTGTATGGCTGGCTTAACTTCAGCTCTTCACCCCCTTTTGTTCTCAACTCTCAGAAAATGTTATCAATTCAGGACTTTGAATGGATGTAGAGAAGAAGACAGATGCAACTTATGCAGGCGATATCCACAGGTCGAATTTCCGAACGAATTTTCTTTAGAAAATGAGAAATTTAGTGCGTTTTGTAATCCGATGGTGCCACCATTAATTTCAAAGTTCAACCAACCAAGCCTTCAATTTTACCTCATGTTGCTACAGAAAATAGTTTTCGTGGCCAAGAATTTGTCTTTTCCAGGTCACAACTTATGCTCATTTCTTTTTCATTTATATTTCCTACACGATTCACCAATTGTTGATTCCAAATTCGTTCATTTTTCAAAAAAAATGCAACATGGCCGATCACTCAAATTCAATGGTCACACAAAAATCGGCCTTTTCTGTGATCCACTAATGGTGTGAAATTCAAACGAAAACTCTTTCAAAACATTTTCTAAAGAAAATTCTTTTGGAATTCGACCCGTGTATGGCGGCTTTATGTAGGGGGATTTGTTTTTATCTCTGTGTATCCCGAGTCTAGTCACTTCACTGGGTATATGGAAGGGTTTACACCCAGCTTACGTGCTCACCCCGCTCCACAGATGCAGTGTTCCTAATTGGAAGGACTGCCTACACGTGGATGCATGAACAACTGTGCATCCCTATGCAGGTACAGACTATGGGCCTCAGCACCCATGTGAATGAGGCCTAGCTGTGTATTTTATGCCATTACCATGATCCACTGCTGGACACCACATACGTGTGCATTATTTGTTGTTTCTACCTGTAGTAGGGCCAAGAAACAATAGTGCTCACCTTGATTTTTTTTTCTGCCTTAACTCAGTGATACTCACTCTAAATATACAAATGTTTGTACCTAAAACACATTGATACTGACATCAAGAGCTCATTTACACCAGTGGTGCCCCCTGAAGAGTGAACTATGGTGGATCACTTTTCAGGGGGCATTTGGCAGCCCGTGAGAAGGTGTTATGTCACCTGTATTTAACCACTTGTCTACCATGCCATTTCTAAATGTATCTTGTAGGCAAATGGTTAAGGGAAGGAAGTTGGGAGCTGGAAATAGCAAAGTTCAAACATGTGGTTTTACCACTCTCCAACCACAAGTCTAAAACTTGCCTAACCTGGATCAAGCCCTGAAACATCCTATTATTTCATTTAAACAGACTTCCCCTCCAATGAAAGGCCAAGTATAGACTGTCAGTATTTACAAACAGCAAACAACATGCAAACAGTTCCTGAAGGGTTAGGACATATCCTGTGATGACAGGTGATGAGATCACTGTACCTGGGTCAGATCCCGGCTGTCAGGAGTAGGTAACTGCTGCCCTCCTCCGCTGTCACTCTTCTGCTGTCCCTCCTCAGTGTCCTCCTCCTCTGCTGTCACTCTTCAGATGTCACTCCTCAGTGTCCTTCCTCAGTTGTCACTCCTCAGTGTTCCTCCTTTGCTGTCACTCTTCAGATGTCACTCCTCAGTGTCCCTCCTCGGTTGGTTGTCACTCCTCAGTGTCCCTCCTTGGTTGTCACTCCTCAGTGTCCCTCCTCAGTTGTCACTCCTCAGTGTCCCTCCTCAGTTGTCACTCCTCAGTTGTCACTCCTCAGTGACCCTCCTCAGTTGTCTCTCCTCTGTTGTCACTCCTCAGTTGTCCCTCCTCAGTTGTCCCTCCTCAGTTGTCACTCCTCTCAGTTGTCCCTCCTCAGTTGTCACTCCTCAGTGTCCCTCCTCAGTGTCCCTCCTCAGTGTCCCTGTCACTCCTCAGTTGTCACTCACCTCAGTGTGCCTCCTTAACTGTCACTCCTTAGTTGTCACCCCTCAGTTTCCCTCCGCAGTTGCTACCTCACAGTATCACCCCTCAGTTGTCACTTTCCCAGTTGTCACTCTTCAGATGTCACTTCTCAGTTTTCACCCTCAGTTGTCACCTCTCAGTGTCTCTCCTCAGTTGTCACCCCTCAGTTGTCACCTCTCAGCGTCTCTCCTCAGTTGTCACCTCTCAGGGTCTCTCCTCAGTTGTCACCTCTCAGCGTCTCTCCTCAGTTGTCACCTCTCAGCGTCTCTCCTCAGTTGTCACCTCTCAGGGTCTCTCCTCAGTTGTCACTTCTCAGGGTCTCTCCTCAGTTGTCACCTCTCAGGGTCTCTCCTCAGTTGTCACCTCTCAGCGTCTCTCCTCAGTTGTCACCTCTCAGGGTCTCTCCTCAGTTGTCACCTCTCAGTTGTCACCTTTCGGTTGTCACTTCTCAGTGTCTCTCCTCAGTTGTCACCCCTCAGTTGTCACCTCTCAGTGTCACTCTTCTGTTGTCACTCCTCAGTGTCCCTCCTCAGTGTGCCTCCTTAACTGTCACTCCTTAGTTGTCACCCCTCAGTGTGAATTTTCAGTATCTCAGTGTCAGACTCCCGTAGTTGTCACGGAAGCAACTAGTAGAGGAGAAAACTTTCCTGATGACGACATTAGCCCCGCCCTCAGTACACATGAGTGGAGGTGTACCAGCAGATGAATGCGGTAACAGTGGCAGTCGCACGGCCGGCAGGAGTCTGTGTCAGGGCCGAGTGTGTGTATCTCTGTAATGGATGAGGCCGCCCTGTGTGTACGGAGATCAGGGTGTCATCTCCACCTGCAAGGACAGGCGCCGTGTAATGCACAGGGAGACCTCCAGGCAGCATTGTCTACAGAGCAACAGCGCCACCTATGTCCTGATCACTAGTTCTACGCCATAGTAGAAAGCCGGCTGTCCGTCCTTTCAGACCCAGTTTGTCAGTAACAGAGGGTTGCACGGCGCTATGTATTCATTTCTCTTATTTATCTATTACAGGTATTTATATAACACCAACAATGTATGCAGGGCTTTACACATAGATTGTGTATGTACATCAGTCCATCTCCCTCGAGGAGCTCTTAGCCTTCAATTAATGCACAACATTTGGAGGTTAAGCAATGCCCTTCATTGGCATCAACTGAAAGGGTTCGTTCACCTTTACCGGAAGAGACTACCCGTGCAGACAAGGGGTGTCTGCAGATAAAACCAAACCATGCAGCTCTGACTAAAGTGGAATAATGCCCTTGCTATATGTGTAGGCCATTTACATGCCTCCTGAAGCCTGACTGGGAAACTTCTAGGACGTTGTTAAGGACTTTGCTAAGAGATATCTAGCTGTTACTGTTCCCCTCCACCATCACAGGAGTGAGTTTTTTCTCTGATTCAATCCCCCTCACATGCACTTGATACAGTAGCTCGGAGCTCAGCATTTCAGAGGTCACTCCTGTGATGGTGGAGGTGAGCAGTAATAGCTGGGCAACGCCCAAGAAGTTTCTGCTCAAGCTTTTTTCTGGCGTGTATATCACTTTGCACTTATATGTGGCTTTTTTTCACTTGGAAATATAGGGTGTAGGTCTTCAGACCTACCCTGAAGTGTAGGGGGAAGATGTGTGGCCCTTAGGTTCCTTCCTCCCCTATCTTAGTGGGGGGGATCTCTCTTCAGGAGAGCCCCTCAGCTAGTACTTATTCGTCAACTTTGGCTGACCATGAGGAGCAGGGGCATCCCTTGGGTTGGTGTCATCTGGTGCGGTAACATGTGGTGTCACCCCTCTAGAGGTGGGTGGCCCCTGTTGTGCACACACAGCCTGGCGCTTCCCCTCCCTGTGTCTCCGTTGCACTCCTGGACTGGTGTTGCAAGATCATTTAACCCCGTATAGGCTGCAAGCCGACGATTCCCTGCAAGATGGATAGGATCTGCGGATTGGGGAGCATAATGGATCGGACTGTGTGCACGACAGGGACCGCCCACCTCTGGAGGGGTGACGCCACGTGTTACCACAGATCCGATCCATCTTGCAGGGATCATCAGCTTTACTTTTTGGTGTCACCATGTGAGATAGGTGTCACTCGGTGCGGCGCGCACCCCCCGCACCCACCTAGGGACACCACTGATGAGGAGCAAGCCTTTCGGCTAAGTGGATAAATGTGCCTTGCCATCAGGAATTTTGCATCCCACAGTGTCAAGGAAGGAGCCTTCTTCTTCAGGATGGGACCATATCCCACAGGGTCAAGGAAGGAGCCTTCTTCAGGATTGGACCATATCCCACAGGGTCAAGGAAGGAGCCTTCTTCTTCAGGATGGGACCATATCCCACAGGGTCAAGGAAGGAGCCTTCTTCAGGATTGGACCATATCCCACAGGGTCAAGGAAGGAGCCTTCTTCTTCAGGATGGGACCATATCCCACAGGGTCAAGGAAGGAACCTTCTTCTTCAGGATGGAACCATATCCCACAGGGTCAAGGAAGGAGCCTTCTTCTTCAGGATGGGACCATATCCCACAGGGTCAAGGAAAGAGCCTTCTTCCTCGGGATGGGACCATATAACACACCCTAAGTGCATTTGTTTATGTAGTCGCATTCACTTTATTGGTTCATTTCCGGTGTTTTATTTTTGCGCACTGCACCACAGTCTCAAATAAAAATGAAAGAAAAGCAGTATGCAGTTTGGTATAAATGGCTCTATAATATTAGCCTATGTTTGGACTATGCACTGCTGGTTCTAGATGTGCATTTGGCTGACTGAACATGAAGAATATTCCTCCTTTTTTTGGGGATATGTGATGAAATCAGACATAGGAATACTTTGGGGTAGATTTACTAAAACTGGTGCACTCAGAATCTGGTGCAGCTGTGCATGGGAGCCAATCAGCTTCTAACTTTTTACACCCGGTCACATCAAGCCCGACATTGAAATCGTGCAACTTACAGTGAAGTCACATGATTTCAAAGTTGGGGGACATTCCGATTTCAAGTGCGATTTGCAAGGCATCTGACACAGATGTCTATGCAAATCGCATGATAAGTAGTGCATGTACTACTTTAGAAATTGGTGTCGCTCTGACAAAGTCGGAACCACACCGATTTGACCGCTGTAATTGTGGACAATAGGGTGCAACTTGGCATGCGATTTGCAAGTTGCCTGGTATGCAAATTGCATGCCAAATCACACTCGATGTTAATGGGGGGCTTAGCTTGTTCAATTAAGATTTGACAATAACACCTGGAAGCTGGTTGTTACATGCACCATTTCACTTGCTATACAATAATAGTCTTCGCACATCATCACGAAACTAATTTACATTTTCACAGCAAATACATAACAGCAAGGGGGGGATGGTGGGATCCTATAAAATGAGATAACCTGCACCTGTCATCGTCTTCCTCATAGTGCTGAGTCATCAAAAGACATTATAACTCAACAACTCTCCCTCTCCCCCTCATGTCAGAGGTCAAAAGAGAACTGGCAGACTGGTTCAAGATGATAACAAGGCAAACGTAATTCATGTCAATATGAACCATAATCTCTGAGGAATGTTTCCAACGCCTTGTTGAATCTCTGCCACGAAGAATTAACGTAGTTCTGTAGGCAAAAAAGGGGTCCAACCCAGTACTATCAAAGGTGTACCTAATAAAGTGGCTGGTGAGTGTAAGTTCAGAGGTTTTTTTTAGCTCTACTGTTACTCTGCTTTGGAAAGGCTTTTCTTGTCATTTTTCCTTTTCCTTTTTCAATTTTTCCTTTTATACAGCTGGTGCATTTCATTGTTTGATCACATGGACTAATTTTTATTCCACTTGCATATTCATTCTAAGTTAATTTCTTTATTATGTCAGGACTTCTGTGCCCAAGTTGTCTGTGCCATATGTGAATGCAGTTTGAATGCTTTTCCTTCTTGGTAATATTAACCAGTTCCCGCCCGGCCTATAGTAAAATGATGGTTGGGCATGACTTTTGTCAATCTGGATGGACGTCATATGACTCTGTGACCACTGAGAAAAGGTCACATAACAGTTGTAAACAATGGATGGATTTCTTTCATGCCATCTTCAGTCTATCATGAATGCTGCTGCCAGACTCATCCACCTTACTAACTGTTCCGTATCTGCCACCGCTCTCTGCCAATCCCTCCACTGGCTTCCCGTTGCGCAATGGATAAAATTCAAAAAATTATAACAATAACATATAAAGCCATTCATAACTCTGCCCCAAATTACATCACCGATCTTGTCTCCAAATATCACCCAAACTGTACTATCCGCTCCTCGCATGACCTCCTGCTCTCTAGCTCCCTTGTCTCCTCCTCCCATGCTCATCTCCAGGACTTCTCCAGAGCTTCCCCCATCCTCTGGAACTCTCTACCCCAATTTATCAGACTATCGCCTACTCTGCTCACTTTTAGCGATCTCTGAAAACCTATCTCTTCAGGGAAGCCTATCCTGCCCTCAGCTAATAATGGAATCTTCTACTCTTGGACTCCAGTCCATCCCCCACAGTTACTACCTTGTGTACCACTAGCTCCTCCCTCTTAGATTGTAAGCTCCAAGGAGCAGGGCCTTCCTAACCCTCTTGTATTGAACTGTATTGTTGCTGTATTGTCTCCCTTTATATTGTAAAGCGCTGAGAAAACTGTTGGCGCTATATAAATCCTGTATAATAATAATAATAAAAATAATAATAAATATACAATTGTGTTGCTAGCTGTGATCACATGGTACAGACTGGGCCACTCACAGCCCATCTGTGTCATGTGATTAGCTGTGGGCAATCACAGCTAATCACAACAAACAAAAATGAATGAGTCTATTTCTTTTCGTAAAATGGTTGCTTATAGCAATGCAATTCAATGTAAATAAAAATACTGATCACTTCTCCAGAGTAGTACAATGTTACTATGGTAACATTATATTCCTCTACTCACAGCGTGTTATTAAAAAAAAAATCATAACATTTTTTAAAAATGGGCAAACTTTTTTTTGCATACTGTTTTATTTAATTTCTGCATTTTCCAAAAAATTATGACAAAATATTACAACTTCAAAACTCAATGCCTCTTACTAAATACCTCAGACTATCTACTTTCCAAAAAGGGGTAATTTTGGGAATATTTGGACTGTCCTGACATTTGTGGGCCTCAAGAAATGCGATAGTACAGCAGGATCAATCGATTTTCATATATATACCATGGTTTGTGGACTATATAACTTTCCTACAGATTAAATAATATACACTAATTTGGGTTATTTTCACCAAGGAAACATGGCAAAATACATTTTGGTCTAAATGTATGAAGAACAAATATTTATTTGAAAAATTTTATAACAGAAACGAAGAAAAACTTTGTTTTTCAAAGTTTTCTGTCTTTTTTCATTTATTTAGCAAAAAAATTAAAAACCCAGTGGTGATCAAATACCACCAAAAGAAAGCTCTAGTTGTGTAAAAAAAATGATACAGTAACAATTTTGT